GATGTATTTATACATTTAACAAAAACATCAAATATATATATATATGTTGTTGTTGTTGTTAATTGTTGTTGAGTCAGTTCCAACCCATAATGACCCTGTATAGGATTTCTGAGGAGCTGCTGGTGAGCTTGAACCACCAACCTATGGATCCAACCGTCTTTGCAGTCCAGCACATTAACCCACAGCACCACACCTAGATTCCACACATATATACACACCACTTTGTTTGTAGCCCAATTCTTAACTCTCTGTAGCTTTACGGAAGTTTAAAAAATTAAGATGTGCAAGCCCTCTTTCTTTATTCTTTATCTTGAAGATTATTAAGACAGGGTCCCTGATACAATGAACAGAAAATTCAAAACGTAAATATTACTTCTAGATACAATAATATTATATTCTCTTTGTAAAAAAAGACTATGTACGTTAGAAAAAATAATAAGGAATACATAGCAAAAAAGCATAAGCTGCATCTAAAATATATGGTTTCAACTGATTTGGGATTACTCTTATTTTCACTGGTTTCTTTTAATTTAAATGAAATGCTAGTTCCTTAGCTACACTTCAAGCATATATATATGAACCGACTCCATGGCACGTAACAACAAGATAGATAGATAGATAGATAGATAGATAGATAGATAGATAGATAGTTAGATATACACATATATATGAAAGGAAGGTCAGTTAATACCACTATTATTCAAATTTATGCAACAACCACTAAAGCCAATGAGGACTAAATTGAAGAACTCTACCAACATCTTCAGTCTGAAGTTGAACAAACATGTAATCAAGATGTATTGACAATTAGTGGCAATTGGTTGTAAACAAAGGTTGTAAACAAAGAGGAAGTATCAATAGTTGAAAAAATATGGCCTTGGTAAGAGAAACAATGCTGGAGACCTCATGGCGGAGTTTTGTACAACCAATGACTTCTTCATAGCAAATATCTTTCTAAACAACAAAAAAGATGACTAGACTCATGGACCTCACCAGATGGAATACACAGAAATTAAATTGACTACATCAGTGTAAGGAGACAGTAGAAAAGCTTCATATTATCAGCCAAAACAAGGCCAAGGGCAGACTG